TAGCAAAACTAAATAACAAAATATATAATTTAATTACATGTCAATTGTATAAGTTCTTGTCTTTTTTAATTTATCTTGCGTTGCCCACGCTTTCATTATTCGATATTCAAAATTGTAGTTTAATTCTGTAAATGGAATTATTTAATCTATAATTAAAATTAATGTCTATAATCAATTATTTTTTCCATTAGTGCATTAAATATCACACCCGTTTTAAATGAAATTTTCTGGTATAAAAACCTTTCTTAATTATATTTTATTTCCAAATCCTACTGTCAGCTATATTCAATTCCGCAAGTTTTATTGCGTCATTAAGCAATTTCGTAGGACGGAAAATATATCTTCAGTTTAGGATAAAGTTACGATTCAAAACTGTCGGAGATTGATGCATTGGAACTTGACGCTTAATTATGTATGTAAATTCAGCTTGCCCTATTCGAAGTCATGGTTCAATTAACATACCATTTAGTCAGATGCATATTTCTGAATGAGTGATTGCATTCGTTTCCCATCTTTCACGAATATCAATCTATTAGTAACTTTTAGCGCCTGTTTATGTGAAGTTTTGAAATTAGTGAAACGTCTTCCCAATTAAAAAAGACAAATCCTTCGCTATTATATGTTAAAAAGAAAAATACATGTGTGCCGTGGACGCAGTCAGCTGATTATACGTTTCAGAATGTTAAGTCTTACCATTTTTTTTTTTTTTTTTTTTTTTGTACTCATTATACAATTTGTCAAAATTGATGAAAGCATCCGGATAATGAATATAATTTCGGTTTTTTCCGGACATCTGCACTTGTAAAAGCTCTTACTGCTTGGAATAAGGAAAGTTCATTGTGATTTGCAAGATAAATAAACGTAGAAAATTAACAATTAATAATTGTATTATAGCATAGCAAATTTATACTATATGCAGCAACTAGGGGATATGCCATTACAATTTAATATAACAGTTCAAAAATTCTTAAATGTCTCCATATGGATTCTTCATTGTGCTACTCTGAAATAGGAACTTAATCTTATAAAATTCCCTTTTTGTGCTGATGAGCACACATGTTACGATCGTAAATGAAAGCAGGGCCACTACGATCTTGAAAAGCCTAATTTAAAGTAAGAGCCTATAGATAAGCTTCATATATTTAATATTTTAATGAATTATTTGCCATATGGTGTTCTAAACATTTCTTAGGTTAGATACTTTACTGCACTTAATATTATTAGGTTGGCAAGAAAGTACGATAATTTCGATTTGCCCAAATAGATAGAGTTAGGTTCGTTTTGTTACTGTTCTGTCAATCTTATATTTTTTTTTTACTTTTGCGATTTGGCAGCTGACATTCTTAGGTTCTTATAGAAATAAAATTCCGCGTATTTCTGTTTACAACTATTAGTTTACGGTCAGTTTTAGCATGGAGTGCTTGGACATATTTTACTTTTTTTATTCTCGTGAAGGAAAGATAGTTGATGTGGCTCACAAAGAAATAAGTGAAGGGTATAGTGTTGATTGTTTAACAGTTCGCATGTGTGAGAATTGGCTTAAAATATTTTCTTCTGGAGAATTTTCACTTAAATATGATCAACGTTCTGGACAACTGCCTGAAATCGATGATGATAAAATTAAGGCCATAACTGAATCGAATCGTTATATTACTGCTCAAAAGATTGGAAAAAATGTTTCTGTGCGACAAAACGTTAGGAATACAATATAAAAATACCAATAAAGAAGGAAATTCAATCTAAACTATAGTAATCTAAATGTTTAACAGTAATCTATAGTAATCTAAATGTTTGTTAATTGAATTAACAGCAGCATTAGGAATAGCTGCTGTTAATTCAAATACTGCTGAAAATTTTTATACAGATTTTAAATGAGGTATATTATAAAACATATGACATCCTTGTATTATAAATTACAACAGTTCGAAAAATTAATGGCTTAATGGCATGATTTATCAACTATCTGTCTTTACATACAATTTCATTGAAGCTAAAACTAGATTGAAAAATAAGCTGCATATTCAGATCAAGCTATACTAAAGGGACAAGCATAAGTTGCATTACTTCAAATAAAATTGATCATTTTATATTCTACGCAATAAATCGAAATAAAGTTTAATAATTAGGATAAATAATTTGTGAAATAACCGACCTTGTTCGAAGGTCATTTTATAAAAAGTTTGCTACATTTCTTAATTTCTGTGATTTTCTGGTAACTTAAATGCAATCATTAATAAAGTGAGCAAAAATTCATTATTTTCAGAACGTTTTGCAAAAAATACCCGAAAATTTTAGGTCAAAATACACAAAAACATTAGCCACCACTAACGAGAAAATGCTGGATGTAAAAAATTGGTTTTTACTTCATGTTGTGTGCATATACCGTATAAGCAAAATAATTGGTAATGCTCATTCACTAGTAATAGATGACCAAATATGTTAATCATCGCTTAAAAGATTTTTAAAATACACATCTATTGATAGAAAGAGTTTGACAACTTATTACTGATGGTTGGATAATCCACCTACAATGCATTCCAAGCCATGTTGTTATCCGCGGGAATGAATTAGCTAATGAGCTAGAAGGGAAAACCCCTCCGGCAAAGGGACGCGCTAAACTCCCTAACATCGGGCAAACATATCATTGAAGCTTCAGTCAAAAGCAAAATCAAAAGCTCAAGGGAAGAAGCTAGTCGAGGAAGGAAACGGGAGAGCTTATTTTCAACGATCCAAAGACTCTACACAGACCAGTCGCCGTGGCAGAATCCAGGCTGCGCACCGGTTATGAATATCTCTAAGCACACTTGACCCGCTTTGGTCTAGCGGACAGTGTAAGATGTTCCCACATGTCAGGATGGAAGACTGGACAGAAAGCATCTGTGACCTCGCAGCATACAGTCACGTCCAGCCTATACTGGAGAGCTCGTCGCTGAATGACCGAACTGCTAAGGCTGCATTAGCTAAAGTAAGTACGTGAAAATAAAGGTATACTTAAAATTCTATAGGGTCACAGTATGCATATTCATGCACAAAATCTGTGTGCAGAATTTTGAGCGATTCTGTGATGAACTTTCAGAATTATTATGATTGTTGTAAACATAAATTATGAAATAAATAAACATATAAATAAAACAGTACACAAAACAGAAAAATCGATAGCTGGATATAAACGAAACAGAAAGTACGATACATTCTTGTTAAAGAAAAATGACAAAACGCATGAAAAATATTTCGCCAGGATCTCCAACCATATTGAAATGCTTGAAGTTCTTTAATGCGAAAATAACAACAAAAACTAAGTAAAAAAGTGTATATCTGATTCCGCCGCTTAAACTTGGACTTCTGGTGTGGCGTACGGTTCCTTCAAGTTTATTGTCTCTTGGAGAAACGTAGTATAACTCCACTTCTGATAAACATATCGAGAAAATAAAAATTGTTTTTGATAGCTAAGAATACGTTAATAATGCACGATGCCATTATATTTCAGTACTAGAATTTTTTTAGTAGAAATATTATTTGAGAATATTTTTCATCAATTTGGTTTGTTCCATTTCACTTCCCAGACAGTTTTGAAAAAAATACTTTCATTTATTAAACAGTTATTTACAGCGTTTCCTAAAATGCGTAGAATCTCTCGCAATATTAATTTCAACACAGGATTAAGGTCATTGTAATTCGAGATCTATATAACACAACTGCTAAAATTTAGATAAAATTACGAAAGTTACTCTCTAAAGATATTGGAACATCTGGAGTGAACAATAAGAAGCCAAGTTTGCCCTCATCGGGATCTGAATCATGGCTCTTCCAATAGCTAGCTGGATATACAACCACATACGCCGAGTGAATGCAATTATTTCTTACAACTCAGTATTCAGAATAATATTACTAATCGTTACGCACAGTATTTAAGGAATCAGGTTCATTGAGATTCCCAAATTTCCAAGAGAATAATTTACACATAGTTATATTATTCGTCATATTATTTCTCAAGGATACAACATAGAAAATATATATTTTAAATACTTATGAATTTAAAATGTATGGTTATATTACTAAACGAAACCTTTAAATGTGGTGTTTAAATATATGCTTTTCTTCTTTTAAATAGACAATAACGTCAATGCATTTTATGTAATAAAATTAAAGATCCAATTCAGTTTTCATTGTTTAAAATGATGCAGAATCATTATTCACGTTACTTAAATTACTGAATCATTTGTATCAAATTTTAACTGCATTAGATGTATGCGTTCATATCTAATCTAAACAGCGAAATATAAATGAACATAATATATTTGTAGATTCATTATTTTGGGGGGGAGAAGCAGGAGGCATGAATAAATACAATACCTTCACCGAGACTCGAACCTGGATCTCTCGAGTACGCGTCGAGTGTGCTAGCATTACAACACGAAGGCATCCTGTAAGGAGGGATAAATACCTTGTATACGCCCCTTTTTAAAGGGAGACTGGGGATTAGGAGATCCAATCGCCAAATCCCGGTAGTGATGAATTATTGTCCACCACCTCTTTTTTGTAGTTCGGGGGCCACTAAAGAGCCATTATATTTTTTGGAGATATAAAATATGAACAATGCCGTCGCTGGGACTCTAACCTGAACGTCTGGAATACGCGCCGAGTGTGCTACCGTTACACCACGAGGGCATGCTAGAAGAAGGGGAAAATACCTCATATGGTTTTAATCTATGTACAATAATTCTATTATATTCGGTCCAAAATCACCAAATTTTACCTTTTATGGTATACTGCGAGTGTTATTTCTTCATATTTTATTTTCAGAAATACTGAAACTACGGCTCATTTTTCTACTTTAAATATTCTAACACATAATAAAGGTAAATATGTAAATACGTTACAAAAGTTCCATTTAAATTGATGTTGAATAAATACAATTTAAATATTTAGTTTTCTCCTCATTTGAAATTGTATAAGCCGAAAACATTACTTCAATAAAAAAAGGACAAAATTTAACTTACCTTTTACTGTAAGCACTGCACTGTAAGATCCAGTGGCTACATCATTAGTAGCAAGGCACGTGTAATTTCCATTGTGTTTATGAGCTAATGATTTAATAGTAATGGTTGACACAAAGCCTTCTTCAGCCGGTATCACGGAAGCATCTAAGCTCTTCGGATCCAGCGGCAAACCATCTTTCAGCCATCTTGTCGTTAGTGGTCCATCTCCTGCTACTACTATACAAGTGACCGCAGTTCTCATTCCTTCGTGGAGGTTGTCTTGGAATATGAATTTAGAAACTTTCGGCCTAGCTGCAATAGAATATTTCATCATTTCATATCATGCTTTCAAGAAAAAATTGTATGAAATTTTAAGTATATGTATAATTCAATGCTTTTATGAATTGTCTAGTATATACTATGCTATTAGCATATCACGGACCTATTAAAATTTATCATTTAAATGTTTTTAATTCCACCTAAATTAAGACTAGTAAATATAACTTTGCTATAAATGTAATAATCAAAATTTATCCAACATGAATCTTGTTTATAATCTTTTATTTACTGCATAGATATAGAGATGTTCGCATATGATGACCACTTCCCCAAGATACCATCTGTGAAACTGACTAGCATTTCTGATATCATAAGTAGCACTGTTGAAGATCATTTATAAGCGTGTTTTCGAATTTTACCACCTCTGCGCTTGGAACAGTGGATGATCATCTTACAAAAGTTTCACTGTTTCATTATTTACCAATAAAAATCAAATAATTAGAATTTTTAACAAAAGAAGATAATAACTTTCTTTAAAAGAAACACTTAACATACATCTCTCATTAAATTTTGTTTTTACCTTTTATTTCCACCACTGGAAAGACAATTGACGTAGTTGGAAACATTTATAATGCCTAATACGTAACGCTATCACGCTTTAAAACCGGCCTCACCATTAGAGTTGGGCAACTAATTCAAAGAACCGATTCACTTTACTGAGCGAATTTACTCCAGCGCCAGAAAAGAGAGTTGCAGCTCTTTTTACAGTTAAACCGCTACTCTTGTTGGAAGCGTGCCAGGAATAGAGATCTCCTATTCATTCGTGAACTTATTCTCTTTAGCGAGCAGCTGTTTTTCTAAACGCAGTTCTTGTTGGAAGCGTGCCATGAAAGTTCAGTTTCCATTTTACGGGAGGAAAGGATGTTTATCCTCCCATTTTAAAATGAGCTTAATTTTTATAGCTTACCAACTTAAAAAGAAAATGCGTTAGGTCTGTGCAAAAAGAATATTTTAAGGAATATCAAAACTTCTGTTGAAAGAAATCAGTTCAGAGAGTTAACGTTCTATTGAATCGATTCTTCCGATCTCACGAATTGTTCGACTATTTTCGCTCTTAGCTCCAGCCTCTTTTACCGGTATCGATCCCTCTGTTCATTCGATTTTTTCCGTTCTTCGCTGTATCCTCGCTAACCGCTCTTGATTCACCCCTCGTTGCGTAGCCTTTTGATCAAAGTTATTGTTATTGAGTGATGAGTAGTCAGAAAGAAGTGATTCATTCCAGTGGGGAATGGTTCCGGATTTGTCCACATCTACCCTCCGAAGTCGAGTGGTTAAGATAATTTAATGCTTGGAATCAGACCTAGGTTCGCTTCTAGTTTAGAGGATGGGCTACATGTTTGGTTTTCGTAGTTTTCTCTACGTGTAACATGAATACAATTCAATTTTCCTTAGAAATTCCTTCGTGAAGACATCCCTAACCTTAAGCAGATAGCCCTCATATGTTTTGCCATATTCAAGTAACCTGAACGCATTAAAATCCAACCATAGATCCATATATTTAGTTAATCACTATTTTCTAATTCAATATTTGATCGGAGTAAAATATTAAATGTTAAACAGACACGCTGGGGTACAACTTCGCTGATTTTAAGTTTAAGGGTTTAGGTGACAAGTAACGTTGCCTTTGATTGATTTCTTAAAGTGTTGCACTATATTTTTTAAATTCCTTTTTCTTTTCTATTAAAAATATCAGCAACTGAGATGTAAAAAAAATTAGGCTTAGAGGCACTTAAAGAACATTTAAATAGTTGATAATTCTACATCTACTGCATACAGATTAACTAAGGGCATAAAAACCTTAACCGGATGATAAGAAAAACATAATTGAATCATTTTTAAAGCAAAAAATCTACAATTTACCAATATATAAGAATAAAAAACACAGCCGAGTAACCCAGTGGGCGTATATATATATATATACATAAACTTTTGATGCGACCGATGGCAACCAAAAAGAGAGGTACACATCTACGTGTTATAGCAGTCCCACATACAAAATTTCGACGTTATGATACTATTCGTTTTTGAGTTATAAGAAACACATACATACGTACGTATGTCGGTACGTACAGACGCTACGAAAAAATCTCTTCTGAATTTATTTTAAATCCGTTTTGTAATTTGTTGGGGGGGGTAAGATCCCTTTATTCTGTCCTTACGTAGAGATGTCAGGCAAAAACATCGTTAAATTGCATTCGATAGCGGTCAAAATGGATATTTTTGTTGAAATATGTGATGTGGAACTTTTCGTGATTACAATACTTCTTTCACTTCGTACAGGGAAGTAAAAATGAAGAAATTTCCACGCAATTATTGAACGAAATATTAGCTAAAAACAGTACTTGATAACAATCGGAACTACTGTAACAACAAAAATATAATATTTGCTCATTAAGCATTCAGTTGCCAAATCATTTTAAGAAGACTTTAATTTGCTTTTTGTCATTTTTTTAAAGTAAGTTAGGTTAACATTAAATTTTGCAGTTTGAACGTTTCATATGCAAATGTAATGTAATATTTATGATCACTCGCTCCATAACATATATCACAATGTAGCATCTCATAATACTTAACTGTCTCAATTATCAAAACTCTAAGGAATATCTGCGACGTATAATTTTTTATATGAATATTGAGCCTTATTTTTGAATGCAAGTCAACCTATATCTAATTAGGTACATGCACTAACACTGCAAAAATAATATTCAGAGTGCTCGGTTGAAATGTTTGCACTTATTGTTCTTTTTGCGTTTAAATTATAAAATATGATAAGTTTTGTCAGATGTAATCAAATTATTTTTCAGTTCTTTATTGGCTTAAAATATGATATATATATATATATATTTTTAAAATTTTAGTATCTAATTCAGTAAGTAATTTTAGTATCTTAGTAGTAAGAGGACTGTTCATAATTTTCGTAAAGACTAAAAAAATACGATTATTGGACAATGTAACATAAGCGTAATGAGTACAATGCAATGCACGAGATAAGTGCAAGGAAAGGTAGCATGTTTTTGCTAGTTGAAGAATTTTACTTCATTTTTTCACCGACAGATGACGCAGCATCTTTGGACAATAGCGACCACAATTAGAATTGCATAAAAACAATAGTCAATAGTTTTCTCGGATCTTAGATATTCTGGATACCCACTAAAATAGCATGTCAAAGATTTCTTACTTTACCTAATAAAAAATCGATATTAATTTAACTGTGATCGTTAGTCTCGATATGATACAGCGCCATCTGTCTACGAAACTTTTAACTAAATATCCTTTTTCTGTCCAAATTCCTTGTGATTTGTTTTTGAACAAAAGTGCACTCTGTTACTACCAGCATTCGGTTTTTGTAAATTTTAGAAATCCCTTATTATTTAGATGCTGTTTTTATTTATCAAAAGAAATATCAGAGAAAAATGTAAGGTTGCGAAGATAAGTTATGTAGTAAATTTCAGTGGCCTTCCAGCAAGTGTCATTTCATAGATATACTGAATATTTCTAATTAGACAGCTCATGATTTTTATTTCAATCAAACACACTAAAAAGCAGAAACCACATTTTTAAACAAATAAAACTGTGTTTATTGCTTTTAAATCGCTTAGTATGTTACTTAAAAACCTCTCATAATAAATTTGAATGTAGCTTAGGCTTCACTGAATGGCAATATGATGGCGCGTGGGAGATTATAGCATTTTATTTCGGGTCGCGACAGTACATTGCTTTCATAAAGCTGATTTTGTTAATTAAAATTGAAAGGTCTTACATTTTTCTGAATGGCAAAAGTGCGCGCTGGATAAAAATGTTTTATTTTGAACCAAGTTGCTGTTGCTCGCTTTCGAATCGTTGACTTTGTTATTCAAAACAAAGAATTGTGTGTCCGTAAAGAAGAAAGACTGTGTGTATGTTTGTTCGCTAATAACTCTGTCACTACTTTGGTTATCGTACCGAAACTTTCTACGATTCTTTGAGTTCTGGAATAGGTTGATGTCCATTTTTTTGTGGAAAAAAATAGCTATAATAGCTACTTGGAAAAATGATATTTTTCGCGCTCATTTTTCCGAGTGGCAACAGTCTTGCAAGCTGCAGATGAAAATCTGCTTTATTTCGAAAGTTGTTGCCACTGCTCGCTTTCCAGTCGTAAAGTTTGTTAAATACATATTTCTAAGTTTTACAATGAAGTAAAAATAGCATTGCCAAACATTAAATACATTATTTCAGTTTCCCATAATTAGTGGGAAGCCACTTCGACTGTGTACGGCTTTAATCAGACGAGATATTAATTAAAAACTCCGAAAACATTAATTTTCACACTCATTTTTCCGAGTGCTGACAGTTTCGCGAGTTGGAGATAAAAATGTTTTATTTCGAAAAGTGTTGCTGTTCGCTTTCAAATCGCAGAGTTTGTTAATAAAAAATTTATAAGTTTTACAAAATGTATATATATAATGAAAAATGTGTATTTGTGTGTTTTGTTTGTTCGCGTTATTGATTTCGGATTAATTATGATCAATGTTTTGCATTATTTAATCGAATAAAATTGAATTAAGTGAAATATTGGATGAAACTTGAGCTTTTACGACCATTTTATTAGAAAGACGAAAATCATTAAAAACTGCGTGACATTGTTGCTGATATGAGAGAGAATCAGTTTATTTTTCTATCGAAATTTTTTTGTGGGTTACATATATCATCAGACTGAAAAATGTATGACTATGAATCGTATTTTTTGCATCGTTATTAGAGAAAGATTACAGCTGTATCGTTCTCTCTGTTGTTAGATGCATTAGTCTGAATCTAACTTACAAAAGTATTTATTTATTTTGCAAAATTTAGGGAAAAGAAAGTTCCGTCAAAAATGGATATTTACTTAAATTTTATTCATCAAAACCAAGTACTACTCTGGAATATTGTAAGTTATTTCTCGAGAGTTACACAATAAGGAATATTTAGTTTGGAAAATTTATATGTTTTCTAAA